CTAGGGTGTTCCGATTCGATTCTTCACAATTTGAATGAATCTTGCGGTACGTATTATTTATTAATTGTTTATTGTTGGATTGACGAATATTTGGTGAGTGAAGATAGGTTTGTTCAATCAAACTCGATTATTCATAAATTTTTTTTTTTTTGTACGAATATATGATATTTCTTTTACTTAAAATTCTCATTAATATATTGACAGGAAAAAAAAACCAAAACGATTGCAAGTTATTCCGGGAACAAATGCGAAACCTCTACATATAATTCCAAAAAAAAAAAATCAATGTATTCGCAGGAAAATATTTCCAAGGGAACTGAAGATGATCATTTTCCCAATTAAGAGTCCTGAAGTATGTATTTACTCCAGATGATACGCGCATCCGATTATTGGCATAACCGGTAGCACGAAAAAACGTCAGAATATCCCTACAGACCTACTAGAAAAATCGAACCAGTTTATATCCAAGCTTCTTTCACTTTCTTCCGTTCGATAAACCTGCTTATTAGGCAACTTCTGTATCGCCTTAGTTTATCTGGAGAATGTTACGCACGAGGCGGACAAAAGCAATTTCTTTTAATGGCGGTGAACGAACAGGCAGCGGAAGAAAAAATATCAGTTATAAATCGTAGTAAACGATTCAAAGCATGGAATATCTGGTATTCTACTTGTACGAAGAGTATAAAATACATAAGTAATCGCTAGCGGAATAATCGTGATATACATACACCATGGTTGTCGGTTCTGTCCTGTCGTCGCAGCGAAGAAAATTAAGGTTGACCGAAGGGGAGTTCGAGAGAGCTGTATCGAGGGTCATGGTGGGAGGTGGTGAGGGCCTCAATTGATTTGCTGGAATTGATGCACAAAAAGGCCTTTAATAGGCGTCGATTATCTTCGCCCACGGTTTCCGACAATTATCCAATCGTGCACTTGAAAGAGGTGCAAAAATCTCGACACCGCGACGATATTTAAACGATGCATCGCGGATACTATAGCCTAAACAGCCTCTAAATGTTCTTACAACGACATGTTGTGACGATTAGTGCACAAAGAAGAGTACGTCATACGTGAGACGATGAAGTGAGAGAAATTTCGTTACGTCAGTCAGAATACTTGTCATTTACTGTAGCTAAGATTCAGAATGGCGAGACTTTGAATTTGTCGATAATCCTCGCGAGATAGTATTTCACATTTGCTACTATAAAAAATTCGATGTATATTTTTTAAAATTACCAGAACAATAGGGAATGTTTTAGTTTAAATTGAAGTTTAGTTAAAATTAAACGGGCGATATTTTTAGATGTTGAAATGCACGATTAAACTTTGGATTTTCAAAAGATTGACTTACACTACGATGATTCTTAACGTACCATGTGCGTGCGGTGATTGACGTCATTAAAGTACGTGAAGGTATAAATTATTTAAAATACGCTATTGATTATACAATATTTTTAAAAAACCGAGTACGTTGGCTATCATCGTACGTTGATCATCATGCAAGATTATATTCCGAGAGATTATATTGACACAACAGCGCTTACTATGAGTCAACGTGTTTGTAATTGAATAATAAATGTACCGTCTGAAGTTCGTTACAGACTTTAATAGAAATTAATAATTCAATCTATGTTTCCTAGCGTTAAACTGTAATAATAGTAAATGATTCTTTCTTAGATTTTTCTATTAAGTACACTGTACTCTTTCGAACATAAACGAGACTAAATGAAACGAAACGTAGAGGAAAATACAAATGAAAATTTTGTATCTGAAAGTTTAAACAAAAAATTGTTTTTAGCAAAAGACTGTTCGTAAAAATCCATCGCGTTTGAAATAAATTTCAAAAGTGTCCGGTCAAAGGTATCCTTAATTTCTTTTAAAATTTACACGCACGCGCATAGAAAGAAACGCTTTGTGATGTTATTACGTTATTATGGAACACGTTCTGTTCTTTGCGACACACCGAGAGAGAGAGAGAGAGAGAGAGAGAGAGAGAGAGAGAGAGAGAGAG